TTTACATATTAAACAGTATATTTATTTATTTTCCCCTACCCACCTGAAATATATAAATATTCTTGCACACATAATAGAGATTATTCAAAAGAGGCTTATAATAAAAGTTGGCTTACAGCCATATCATGTTAAAGCACCAGTTCTCGTACGATCACCGAAATTAAGCAACATCAAGCTTGGTCAATACCTAGATGGATGACTGCTTCAGAATACCAGGTACTGTAACCTTGGATGTAATGTGTAATGGCTCAGAATTGGAAATCAAAGAACAGAGTTCCAATTCAAATCATTTACATGCAAGTACTCCTCAGAAGGGTATAAACCCACTTTCCCCCAAGCTATGGGTTAATTAGGACTTGTATCAGTAAATCATTATTATCTTCAAAATATTCTTACAATCTAAAAATATTTTCTGGCTTTAAAATAACCTGTAAAAGGTTGATAAGTCATTAAAAAACAAATCAATCAGTATAATAAATCTTTTTTGTCATTAAGTAAGCTGCTTTGTCAACATGGATAAATAATTATTCAAAGCCAAAATAATAAATCTTTAATCTCTTTTTATTGGATAAATTCTTTGTTCAGAATTTCTTGTTCATGGACTGAATGTCAAAATACACTTTATATAGAATGCAGTAGGTATGCAGTAATGAAAAACTATACCTACTTTTGCAGATCTGAAATCCAAGTTGGTTGGGCATTTCGCTAGCAACTCCATTGCATGAAAAAATAACTATTTGCTATCGAAACCACAACAGCAACATCCAATATACTGAAGCTGTGGCACTTTTCTTCAGAAGTCTCTAGGACTTGAATGTTTTTATTTTATTTTCATTATTTTAATTACAAAATAAAAATTAAAGAATTAGGAAGCTGTAGAGAGCCTTGATCCTGAAGTAACATGGCATTTTAAAAATATATTTGGAACAATCCATTAAATTGTTAAATACTGGGGAGAATCTGTTCACCTTTAGCAGATCTGTCTGGCCAAACATCATATGGATAGGGGTATTGCATTCAGTTTCTATGGAAACTATCTAAACCTTTCATGAAAAGTAAAAAAATCCCCCTTAGCCTAAAGCCTATACATAATCCTACCAGGATATATATGATATGGAGTGGCTGATTTATGTTGATAGTTCATAAATTGAATTAAAACTGATAAAATTTTAAAATAAATTTAAAGGTTTAACCATTTAGGATAATCTATGAAAGAGTTAAGGATGGATTAACTCTCAACTGATTCATTCAATTTCTTGTCAGCCATCTTGGTTTACAGTTGACTGTTAATGAGGGTAAGGACTTTTCAATTTTATAAATGACATTAGGATGAAAGTGATGCACATATTCACAAGAAATTATTTGAGTTTCTTAGATGAAGCATTACCAACTGATTATAAATTTTTGACAAATATTTCTTACATCATAATTTCAGTTGCTTTTTATAATTTACAGATTATCTTTTATTTTTGATCCATGCTGCTTATTACGGATTATAGAATAATGGTGATAGTCTTGCAGCTGCATTAAAATTCAGCTGAAATTTTAAACAGTTTACTAAAACATGTAAATTTTCATTAAGTTTACTATTACTTCTTGTTTGTTAATCAAATATTAACATCATTTTAAAAAAAAAAAAAATTAATAGTTTTAAAATTGATTATCATGAAGTGTTCCTGTTTTGTTAACTTTGCATTTGATAATTATCCAATATTTCCAATTCTGTCAGACAATAATATTTGTATTATTGATTTTCTGATATTTATCAAAGAAATTGATTTCCCAGATGCTTTGATATATGTGTCCATTATTTGAAAGGAACTGAAAGTGACTTAAATTGACTGAGATGATCAAGTGTATGTGACTCCATTTGCTGTACAAAATGTTTATCCTGCCACTGAAAATGTCTCTGATCTCTGAAAAAAGATTGTTTTTAAATTTTATAGTTGTGTTCTCATATCCTTCTATGGAAACAGAAAACAACTTTGTATGAAATTAACAATAAGGATATTGCAATTGAGAGTTGTGAAAAAGAATGCAGTGGAAAGGAAAGTAATATTAATTATATAGAGTGCTAAAGATTAAATTACACGTGTTAAGATGCACTTAAATTGAAATGGACAAGTTATAGCACATTGTGTTTCCATGTTATATTTATCATTCTTGTTTTCTTTTTCAAGTTCCCTATATATTTTAGTGTAAATTTTGAGATTTTGGTGTATTCTTCTGTATACAAGAAAAGAGATAACTTAATGACACTTTATCCAAGTGGTCAAAATCGGGAATAAAAACAATGGAGTTATTCCCCCTTAATTCAAATTGTTTATAAAAGAAGAAATATTTCACTTAATGGTTTTTAATCCACCATTATCCTTTATTACTATCAGGATTTATAGTAATAAGAAATAATGAGTTAAAAAATATATTAATTGCTTAAAAATGATTTTGTTTGCATTTTGGGTATGAAAATAAAGTTAGCGGATATAGAATTTGAACAGTTTCAACAAGGGATGTTGGTAGAGTAAATGAGCCTTGCTTTGCTGTAATAACTTCTTCTTTAAGAACTGGGTTTGAAAGAGATTTAGCTGATTAAAAAGAGAATTCAGGTTTAATTCGTGCCAGGAGGCATATTTTAAGTAAGACTTAATCGATAGGCCAGAAAATATGAACCCACTAAATATAATGTTTTGTAGTAATAAAAAGAAACATTTAAATTTATTTTTGCAAACTACTGATTCGTTTATGTTTAAAAGCTAGACTACCCCTGAACCATTGGGTCACTGACGGTTAGGTAAAAATTGAAGTTGATTCAACATTAAAAAAATTCTCTGTTTAAAGTTGAAATACAAATACTGTGTAAACAACTCACATTTTTAAATCATATTCACTTGAAAATATTTTTTAATATGCCAAAAAATATTTTTTTCAAATCATATTCACTTGAAAATATTTTTAAATATGCCAAAAAAATATTTTTTTAAATCATATTCACTAATAAAAATTTTTTTAAATCATATTCACTTGAAAATATTTTTTAATATGCCAAAACATATTTTTTAAATATTTAAAATATTGTTTGTTTAAATAAAGCTGAAATATAAATAATTACTTTACAAACAACTGGATAAAACAGCAAATCGGAATCTTTTTGTGTCTGTCGTTTACTTAAAAATATTTTAATTAAAAAAGTTGTCTGTTTGAAGAAAATTAATATGAAAATACTTACTGTATAACCAAATCATATTTTTTAATCTTATTCACTTAAATCAGATTAACTTAAATCATTATGTGCCAGACGGACGGCACATCATGTAAGCACACACACAATCACAGACTTTTAGTATTATATAGATTAAAATTAAAGGTGGGAAGGTCATTTTTTGCATGGATATGAAACATATTTTAAAGTCAAACCAATTTAATATCTTGGATATGGAGTTTATTATTATATATTATTTACACTATTTACATTCAGACTATTTTCCTCATCTTTTTTGTTATCACAATTTTTCAGCCATTGTCCCCTCCAGTCTTCATCAGGTGTATTTTGATCCAGGTAACCTACAGAGAATTCCAAACTGAAACATTTATCTAATCTTCAGGGGTATACTGTTCTCGTTTTCTGTAGGTTACCGGGATCGATATACACCTGATGAAGGATGGAGGGCATGGCAAAATTTTGTGATAACAACAACAACAAAGGTGAGGGATTGTTGCTTTTGCTTTTTTTTTTTTTTTTTTTTTTTTTTTTTTATATTGGAAAATGGTTCTACTTTTCTGTTAGAGTAAGTTTGTTAGCACAAGCTCTAATATAACTTATCAAAATAATGTTGCAGTTTTTTTTTTTGTTTTTTTTTTTTTTTGGCTTCAATCCTTTCGTTTTTAAATTAGTTTTATCATCTGAACTTCATGATCAATTCATATCAGCATCACAATTTTATTTTGTCCAAGATGCTTTCATACACTGTGTAAAACTGAATGTCTCATTTGTGTAGACTATAACTCACCCCATCATTTTATTCCCACTCTTGTCATATGAATGGGATTTTTTCTATGAATGTTTTGTTCTCTCTCTCTTTCTCTCATCAATCCCAAAAGCAGTGGAAGTATATTCCTTAAATTTGTCTTGTTTTGGATATGAAATAGAAAAAAAAAAATGTAATTTGAAAATATACAAGTGAGGCATTTAAACTGAGGCATAAAAATGGAAATTGCTTGATTTGCACTTTAAAGCACTTTTCTAGTAGAATGGGTCCAGTAGATTATATTATGCAATTAATTTCTGTATCCATTTAGCATTCAAATTTACTATAGATAGTTTTATTTAGATGAAACTGGTATAAACCTGGGCTATTTAATCTCCAAATACCTACCTGTCCTTTCTATTTTTCATAGGGTTTCATAAAATCAAAAATGTATGAAACAAATTTTAAGTACCTTTTACTATCCAAAATATATTTTAATAGGGAATACATTAATAAATTGTGCCACTTAAATAGTAGATATCTTTCATTAGTTTTTAGTTTTTCTAGGTACATTGTAAATGGAAAAACAATCCTTTTTAATTCACATAAATTTATTTTGTCTATATAAAACATGTAATTAGTATTAGCTCTTGTAAAGAAAATTGAAATGGACAAGTAATTTTCTCCTACAATAGCCCATAAAGAGGTGGGTAATTAACCGAATTTAATTTTACTTGTAGTACGTCTGTACAACATGTATGAAAAAAAAAGAGCTAAGCCAGATTATAGAAATACAATTTTTTTTTTTTATGCAATGGATAAAGTGTTGATTGAATAGATGCCTTCTGTTGTATTATAATTTAATAATGTCAAAATGAATATTTTTCTCTGAAATGTATTGGGACATTTTAAACATGGACCACTTTGGGAACCACTGACCTGTAAGCCTTTCTGCATTAACTGTTGTTATTTCAGTTAGAAAGTTCCCTGTGAAAAGTTGTTGAACTAAATAAAGATTTTCATTTGTCTTTTCAGTAACATTGGTTGCTGTTCTCTGCTTGAAAATCCACAAGTAAATATCAGTCATCTTTGTTGTTCATTTCACGCTTGTGTGGTATATTTCTTTGGGGGTGTATCTGGGCAGGTGCTACCACTAGTCAACTTATATCTAATCAATCCATTTTTTTTATTGTAAGAAATGCTCACTACACATAAATCAGAGTGCATGAAATTTGAAAGTTGGGATACTGAATGTGTGTGTTTTATATTGTTCTCAGTCACATTGGGCAAGGTATTACACCTGTTAGCTTCTCTCTGGCATACCATAGAGCTATAATAAACTGGTTGCCTAAACTTTAAAAAAAATTCAACAGGAAAGGCATCTGATTGTAAAATATTCATTTTGCATGGATGAATAAGTTTTTTCTTCAGTTTAGACTGTTTTCCTAGTTTCCAAACAGAGTTTAAACATAAGTTGTTCAGTGTCTTCTGAGTACTTTCAATTTTCAAAAGACATTATCAAAGAATTTTTTGTGGCTTAAATAGCGTATGTTAAACTCTGCTCAGAAAATGGGAAAAATAGTTTGAACTAAAGGAAAGAAAAAAAATTTTCAACAAAATTGTGGAGATATATAGAGATATATATAAGTAGGCTGATGAAAGGAATTTGAAAAAAACAATGATAATAATATTTATTGTCATTGGACAGAATAAAAAAATGTTAAAAATCGGTATTTTCAGACACTTGCCATTTTCTCAATGAAAAATTAAACCTGATTGTGATTTTATTTTTCATTGAGAAAGATGTGTAAGTGGTGTAATGGATATTGGCTTCGAATAATAATACTAATAATGGGTAGTAAATTAAAGAGCCATTCAAATTCCAATCAGATCTGTTGCATTCACATATGTGCAAATAACCTTTGGAAAGGTATGAATCCTCCTCTCACCAGCTGTGGATTAAATAGACTCGTATCTTGAAAAGTCATTATCTCCAAAAAAATTAATATAATATTCACTTGCAAAAAAAAAAAAAAAATTTTCTTACATTCCAAAAATGTTTCAGCTCTAAATAACCCATAAAGAGTTGATAAACTAACAAAAACAAATCGATTATTGCCAAAGGACACAGACATGTTAAAAAATTCCGATTTTTAACATTTTTCTCATCATACTTCTATTTTGCTTAATAATATACAATAAATATTATTCTTTTTCAAATTTCTTTTATTGGCCTATTATACACATATACTGTAAGAAGCATACATGGACAATCTTTTATATATATATATATATATATATATATATATATATATATATATACACACACACATACACACACACACAAAAATGGTAATTGAGAAATTATTGGGTAAAAAAACACTTTTCAAAAAAATTGATGTATGTTCAGCTCTGGGAAAAGATAAAGGTAAATTTATTCTATCTATCTGCTGTCAGCCTAAATGCTACCTTGAATCAGGTGGTTATTATTCATATTCACCATCTCATGCACAATAATGACCTTTAATGATTCCTTGGTATTGTGTCACATTTTGGTCACTATTCTTCCAGTATAAGGGATTCAAATTTGTACGGCTATGAGTTCACATATTCGGGAGTGATACAATCTTGAAAACTCTTGACCAGCCACATGAATCATGTGGGAGGGAGTAAAATCTTGAGAGAATATGTGTAGCCACACCTTTGGTCCAGAGCTTAATGTAGGTGGTGGCATTGATCCTGAGAACCCATGAAAAGAAGTGGGGCTGCATGATATGACCTTGAATGTGCATTGTCATGGGTTCCTTCCTGATGTCCATGCTGGGCCATCTGTTGTTGCTTTTTCTGTCCTCCTTCAGGAAGAAACTCACTCCAAATCACTGTGATTCATGGCCATTGCCACAAGTATGGCATGTCTTTTCATTTCCTGTGTCAGAGTAGAGCTGCTATGTTAATATTTTCAGTATATCTTGAAGAGGAATGAGTTTTAAAATTTGCCACATTTATGGCCAACTGTGTTCTCAGATACTTGGTGCAACTTGTACATGTGAGTAATTTTTATGTGTATGTATGTATGTATGTGTGTGTGTGTATATATATATATATATATATATATATATATATATATAATCCAGAAACGTGCATACATTTCTGTATTTACCTGTACATAAACATGATATATGTTTTTCTTTATCTCTTTGTTACTTCAATCACATGCATTTATCAGCTGTTGCTATGAAGATAAAAATTGTTGTATTTGCCTGAATGACTGCACTAACAAGCATCATTCAAATCCTGTTCAAGGCAGCTGATTGTATTAAAATATGTATTCTTGTCTATGCTCTCTGCACTGCCTACTTACTCTCCATTCTTTATTTCTTTATATTCCATGGGTTTTTAAATGTAATATATTTAACTATATTTTTAATTTGATTTAATTGTAAACTATTACACAAAGAAAAAAAAAACACATTATTAGCTATTTAAAAAAAAAAAAAAAAATATTTGTATTCCATTGAGCATATGTGGACTCATATTTACTGTATTTTTCAGTGTATAAGACACATTCTATTTTCAGAAGGGCTTATGACCATGTCACGTTGAAACACAGAATCTCTCATATGATCACAAAAAGCAACTGAGTCTGGTCAGTACCTAGATGGGTGACTGTTTCAGGTTCAGTAAGCTTATATGTGTGAGTGGTATAATGGATAATGGCTTGGAATTGGGAATCGGAGAGCTGAGCTCCAATTCCAGTCAGGTTCGTTATATTCACTTACACACAAATACCCTTGGGAAAGATATGAATCCACCTCTCCTTCTCCCAGATATGGGTTAATTAGTAGGATTTGTATCAGTAAATTATTATTATTCCATCCCTCCCTTTTTTACAATCTAAACATATTTTCTGACTTTAAGTAACCGACAAAAATTTGATAAGCCCTAAAAACCAAATTAATTTTTAGAAGTGAGAAAAATGTTCCCACAAGATAGTGATATCTTGGTACATTAAATTTAAAGAATATTTTATGCACTGAATAAACATGTTGCATATATGTATGTATGTATGTATGTATGTATATATGTATGACAAAAGAAAAATTTTCTTTACAAACACATTTTGTTCCTTGAGGAATATTATCATGGTAAATGTGGAGATTCTATTTTACAAAAGTGGTGAAAAAATATTAAATTTTCAAAATTTTAATTTGAGAATGTGCTAAAGTATTCCTGAAAGCAACTGTATAAAATGGAGGATGCTGAGTGATATAATTACCTAATAAACGAAAGTCAGTAAATGTTGAATTTTTATTTGTTTTTATTTTCTTTTCTTTTTTTACTGTAATTAATAGTCTTTGTATTTAATTTTGTTAATTATTTATTTATCAATTTAAAGTTTTACAAATATTTTAGTTTTCTCAAATTCAAAATTTAAAAACTTAATATTTTCTTTTATATTACTTTGGTGTTTAAATACAAGTTATGAAATAGTCTCCACATTTACCTTGATAAAGTTCCTCATAGTATGAAACGTGTTCATAAAGAAAAGTTTTTCTTTTGTCTTTTATTTATATTGTCTTCACAGATATATCTGACTTCTTTTACACATGCACACACACACACGTTTAAAATTTGCTATATTTTTAAGGTAGTGTTCAATATCAGGGTTAGAGATGTTCATGGATTAAAAAAAAAACAAAAAAAATAAACACTTCATGGTGAGTCAGTTTCACAACTTAATCAGCAGCATCAAACCATACTTAAGACATGAAACTGACAGTCACCATACAGTGTTGATTCCTATGCTCACACTATATCTACAAATGCTCTTCTCCAATATTGGATGGATACGCACACACACACACACACACACACACACACACACACACACCAGTACGTCTGTAACATGATGACAGGTGTTGGAGGTGGGTGGATTAATTTTTGGAATAACCTTGTCAAATCCAGTGTATCGATCACATTGATAAGGAAGGAAGGAAGGAAGGAAGGAGATTGTTGACATATTTGTTGTGTAAAATAAAAGTTGTTTTATCATTAGGCTACTGACTTGTATATGAGAGAGATGTAATTTCTAAAGCAGTGATGTATTTTTATTTATTAATCTGACAGATTTTATTACTTAAATGTTATTTTTAGTGGATACCCTTATTTGAGTAGACACCCCATTTATTTATTAAACAGTATATTTACTTATTTTCATCTACTGGCCTAAATATTCAAGAAATCTTATTAAGGAATATATGATCTCTCCAAGGGAAACTGTCATTAGATCCAATATGCTTTAGACTACTCAGACATGAAGTGTGTTGATGATCAAAGTTGAATAATGCCTTTAAACGCAAATCTTTCCTGAACTTTTGAAATATATATATATATATATTCAGTTTCATATTGTAACATAAACAAAGCAATTTCTAAAGCAGTGATGGATTTTTATTTATTAATCTGACAGATTTTGTTACTTAAACGTTATTTTTAGTGGATACCCATATTTGAGTAGACACTCCGTTTATTTATTAAACAGTATATTTATTTTTGTATAACAACCTAAATATTTGAGAAATCTTATTAAAGAAAAATATGCACTCCCCAGCAGGATTTGAACCTGTGTCCCTCTGGGTAGGTGAAATTGTCGTTAGATCTGATGTGCTTTAGACTGTCTCAGCCATGAAGTGCATCAATGATCAAGCAAAGTTGAATAGTGCCTAGGCCAGTAGACAAAAATAAATAAACTGTTTAATATATAAATTGAGTGTCTATGGGTATCCATTAAAATAACATTTATGGTATAAAGAGAGATATATGTAACGTATTTCTTTTTTTTTCTTCTTTTTTTTTTTGAGGAAAGAAAAATGCTCAACAAATGATAATAGAAACTAAAGGCCTGACTTGTTCTATTCATGGAAAACTAGTTATAATCCACTATATATCCAGAAGGAACCAAGAAACTAAGTTTCTCCCTTCTGGGTCAGCTTTAGGCAAGATGTTAAAAAAAAGAAAGAAAAAATACACATTAAAAA